TTTCCTGCGCCTGTCTCAAGTACCGAACCGAGTCAACCAATGCTCAAAAAGGACTGGGCGTGCGGTCTCCTGATCGAACAGATATTTAGCCTAGAATTAGTAATACAGACGAGGAGCTTACTTTGCACATCCTCCAAAGATTTCCCCTTCTCACACGGGAGCAACCAGGATCTCTTGCCACTCAATTTGCTTCCAGCATTTAAGTAGTCATCTGGGTCAAGACTGTACTGTGACCCAAAGAGATGGCCGCTAGCCCAGTCTTCTTTTTCATTGATGAAGACATGTTCAGGCGCATAGCCACTATCCTCTAATTTGTTTTCGTTCAACACCCCGAGTTTCGCTACAAAGTCATTTCGGTTCGCAAAATGCTCGGTGCGAAGAACGTGCGAACTGAGATTTGTATAATCGTCCAATTGCTGGTCGTCAAGGTTTAGTTGCTCAATATGTTGTTCACCCAATTCCCATTTCCAGTCGACGCTGGGGTTGCCGAAAGTGAAGATGCAAAGGTGTTTCTTCATTCTTTCAGGAATCTCGGTATCGTTGACTGAATCATTCAATATCTGTTCCAATGCTAGGCGTAAAAGTAGACAGCCCTGGGAATGTGCTATCATCACGACATGCTTGGGCTCTGGATTGGCGTTCAAGGCTGACTTCAATTCCTTTACCAATGACTTCTGTGCCATCCTGCTGCTCTTTGTTCTTTTGATCAGTTTCTTCTGTTCTCTTGCAGTGCCATTTCTCTGGACGGTCCTCTCGCCTGCACATTCAACCAAGTCCCAAAGAAGGCCATCACCCCTATTGAAAACTCCTCTTATTTCTCTTGAGTAATGCGTTGCCAGTTTCTTGCAAGCAAGATGCAACCAGAAGAGCTCTCCACCTACACCATTGACAAATAGCCACTTCTCATTTAGTGATATGTCATTTGCAAAGTTTCCAACAGTGATGTTCGAGTCGACGGATTTGACGTCGCTTCCGAGTGTGGTTGCATCGGTAATGCCAATGTCTTCCAGCTCGTCGATATTGACAGTTTTGCCCATTCCCCCAACAATGAAGATCAACGATTTGGCGAGCCTCTGAAGTTGACAAATTACAGCGTGCTGATTCATATGTTTTGATGAGTCCAATTCATTGTATGCACCACGTGGTGACCCTTTGATGGTTCCAGTGGGTGGATCAGCTGGGATATAGTCTGCTGGGACATAGCACTTGGCAGGCTCGATAAGGTCAACCAAAAACCTCGCCAAATCACCGCCATTGTTCCAGATGGCTCCCAGGGTTGCCGAAGTGACATCGTTGCTGATTACGCCTTCGTGTATGATCCGAAGTGCTCCCACCCTGGCAATTATTGCCTTCGCAGTCACTGTTGTGAGCTCCTTCCCAATTTTGAGAAGTGATTCTGGATCGATCCTATCCAACATGGACTTGATTAATCTGAATAATGATATGGTCGCTTCTTGAAGCAGGCTTCCCACGGGTTCTGTGTTTCTCTGCTCGGTTATCCTGACAAGAAGCTTTGTCAAAGTCTCCAGAAGAAGTTCTGGGCTTATCAGCTTCTGAGAGCGTCTTAACACTGCGTCAATAAGCCCTCGGACCGAATGTCCGCTAGCCTTTTGAAATATGCGCGTCGCGGATTCGATGATGCTGTCCGCATGACCAATACTGTCTACCACAAATGTAGACGCAGATGTAGCTGCATACCCTAGCCCCCCAAGAACGTCACCTAAGATATTCATCATCACTGTTGTAGCTTATCTCAATCAACAGGCAGAGTGTGGGCAGAGCTGATGGATATTCTCTGACTCAGTGATAGAGGAATGTAGGAGGAAACCACACCCGCTGACCCATCCTGTTTATCTATGCAGATTATTAAATTAGCCACAGTCTAGTGTCTGTTCTTCTAGTGTCATAGTTCAATCGCTGTAATTTTTCAAGAGCAATTTGGGGTGGAGTTCAAAGTCAAATTCAGTCACAGGGACATGGACCCCCACATCAGACCTTACTTCTTGTGATTGTGTCAAGCAATTAGCTTTACGCCGTATGCATTATGCCAAGATCTGGACCCTTCGCTTTTATTGGTTCCGAATCTGCTCTCTTGGGTAGATAAAATAGTGACTTCCAGGGTTATATTCTTCTCTTCAGAGTTCAACACATCCGGTATTCAACATGACTTGCTGACGAAGAGTTCGCTCTCCAAAGGCTATAGCTATTGAGTGAGCAATGCAAGGACATGTACATTCCAGACTCCAGTAGTAGAAAGGATGATGTCAAGTGATGTTCAACCCTACCTTGGGCCATTCGAAGCTTAAATCTGCGGAATGGGTATAAGCTTATAACTCCGCCCGGATCACGGATACTCAAGCCGAAGGCGGCGATTATAGACAATGTTTGATGTTGAGAGGCTGGACTAAATACGAACAAACTTAGCTTGCCGACCTACTCAGTGTTAGAGGCTACCCTTCTTGCATAAGAGATACGACTCCTAAATACGAAGTCGGAGTCTAGCCATTGCATCCACTTTCCTGAAAAGACTCTGACCGTGTTCATGGTCTTCATCAGACGTTCTCACAGAGTTAGCCTCTTCAAGTAGTTAGAATAAGGTTATTACGGCCTCGTAAACTGTATTTAATGCGTCAGGAAGAGCCATGGATGTCGGGATGTATATAGAGGATAAAGAACAGTCTAGATGTAGCACAGTGCATCTTTTTGAGTAACTAGGTTATCCATACCGGTCAGTAAATCCAATGGGTCTCGACTCATAGATCGTGCTTAGGCCACCTCGGTTCGGGTGGCCTTTTGTTATAAAAGAAGGCATCTGTTTAAGAATTGGAGAGTGCAAAATTCTGATTCATTCCATCGCAAAGCTAGTTCGGGAGAAGATGAAGCAAAGTAGCACGCGAAGAGTTGAAGATGCGGACGACGGAGATCCTGTTTCAGAAGGGCCGGGTAGAGCCCGCAACAGATCTTGAGATGTCCAATGGGATCAGCACTCACACAGCATCTCATGACAGTCAACTGAACCCATACAGTGGTTTCAGTGAGCTAGCCAACGAATATCGAGAATATGTCCAGAGACTCGCAGGCCAGTGGCCTGGATTATCCTATCTGGATGCTTATCTACAGGATCCTCTATATCTCCAGAGACAAACTTTCGGAATCGTGCTCGTCAAGCCAAGCAACGTTCCTCCCGTACAGCGTGACCTGAAATTGGAAGAGGTTCTGCCCGAATTGGATGATGGTTCAAGCCCAATACTTATAGTTTTGGAAGACCCCACTCCCAGGATGATCGCAGAGCTCGGAGGGCAACTGCGAATTGATCCTCAGTTTTGGGCAGATTTCCTGGTCGGTCCGTCGTGGTTTGGGTCAGGAACGGTAAATATTGGACCCGGTGAACCAAGCGTCCAATACAGAGATGACAGCCTGCTAGAGCAGCTTTGGCCGTTACCAAGGCCTGCGAGGCAGCAGGAGCATTTTTGCTTTCGGTTTGTTGCCCACAGAGAGCCAACACCAGGTAGCTCTGAGGTTTGTGTTGGCCCAAATATGGATGGCTATAGATTACTATCGACGTCCTATCCCATTTGTGGTGATGCCAAACCTGGGCCTCCAATTTGCGCCAACTCAATCAGTCTACGCAATAATCTCACTGTATGGGAAAACCAGCATGCGCGGAAGAGGGCCAAGGGTGAAACTGAAACCCCATCACGGGATATACCGTGGATAGGTGAGTGACTTACAGCTCCAAGGTTTGTCTTCAGGAAGTAGTAACACTCAATAGGTGTCATTGTGGTGAAGAACCAAAGTAGCAGGATACCGGTCTGCGAGCCAGGCCTTTCATATGTATTCCGAGAGTTCCTTCCAAGGCCACGGTTTGTTGAACGCTTCGTCATGGATAATCTGGAAATCTCAAAAGAATGGGAAGGACGGCCTCAACGAGCTCCAAAATCCAATTATTCCATTAAGGAGATCCTCTGGTACCACCTCACCTGCCATCTCGAGAAAGATGATTTTCGTAATGCCGCATTGACATCACCGAGCCTTCTATTTGTCGATGTACTTCAACTGATCGGTTGCTTCTGGGTGGCTGAGATTGAATCTAAACACTTGGAATTATCCTGGATGGAGGTGTATTATCAGAAGGAGGCTATTACACGAAGTAGACGGAAGGTTCCCTCCCCGGTGGCTCCCCTATATGCAGACCCAAACGGCAATATTTCTGCAAGGCTCCAAGGAGATCTGATTGGTTTACACAGTGACTTAATCAAGATCGAGCCGTACGAGCAGTTTATGCACGAAGCTGAAGAGTATTGCAAAGCTCGAGAGCAGCTCACCGGTCTGCCAGATTACTCGGAATTAGCGAATGACTTCGCCTACCTGCAGAAGGCTGTGTCTCGCTTGAATCAACGGATCAAAAGGATCATGAGCTTTTTGAAGTCAATCGAGGATGACTTTGAAAAATCACGATCACAAAACCGAAATATGTTGCTCCTGATTCTGGCATTGTGGGCCTGGTTGGTTTCGCCAATTTCAGTGACTGCTTCAATAATGAACTTAGGGGAGAGCAGAGAAAGCAGCGCTGTCAAAGTTGGGGACATTCAAGTATTCTGGAAAGTTGTGGTTTCTCTTGGAGTTGGGGCGGTTTTGCTTGTTGTGTCTTCGCTTTGGATCACGGAATTCTTTACTTTGAAGGCGACGCAAAAGGCAAGTCTCTCTAGGAGGTACTGTTGATATTGTTTTGAACGCTGTGTACCTTTTCATCTCACTATATCCATGAAGCGACTAAGTTCTTCACACCTGTATTGAATTCTACACTATTGGCATAATATCCCGCTACTTCCAGCCTAGCATATTACTTTAGTAGCAGCTCTATCATTGCCTAATCATCCAATGTATTTTTCTATCTACCCTCATCTTTACAATGTGGGTATCTGTCTTTAGACGGCGACTATCAAACTATATCTCCACTTGACTTCCAACGACCCTACCAGATTTTGTATTAATATACTGCTGTATCGGGTGCGACCCACCGCGGATTAAACATCCAATATATCAACAATAGACTACAGCAGCTCCTACTCTACACACCTTAGCTAGATCCGTTCCCCGGGATGATCATCGGTTGTTTCATTTTGTTTCAGACACCAAGCAGTGCGCATGATTTCATGCTAGACAATTTGCGCAGCATGGGGCTCCATACTAGTAGTAGACTAAATTTATTTTCACTCAATTTAATGCTTGTACGCTCCCAAGTGTTTCCGCCTGCGCCCGATGTTAGCCCCTCGACTATGCACCAACGATAATCCTAGTAAGGAAAGAAATAACTTACCACCACGACACAAAGTCAACCGTCCGGAGATCAATGCCGAGCTCTTTCAGCGCTTTGGTCGACAGGTGAGTGTCGTAGGGCCGCTGCACACTCGCATTCGGGTCGTTTCCTTGCTTGTTCCGCACCATTCCAACCAGGGACAGTCCGAGCACATCCGCCAGCTTTTCACAGATCTCGTACTTGGTCATCCGGTCCTCCGATGAGAATTGCAGGATCTTGGGAAGCTCCTGGATGCGCTGCCGCTCCTTGACGTACTTGATTACAATGTCACGGCACACTCGTGCAACGTCTTCAGTGTTGGTGGGATAGCGCTGGGCCCAGTCGTCCATCTTCACCCCCGCGTTCTCATCTTGCGCCTTGTACACCGCATCGATTAGGGTGTTAACGGCGCTCTCCGAGTTCTCCTTAGCAGTCCCATACAGCACGGGCACCCGCAGCACGATTCCTAGCCCGGTGTCCTTGGTGGCTTCCAGCACGGCCACCTCGCCATCCCGCTTGAACTGCCCGTAGAGGTTGGGCGGGTTGGTCTGCGCGTCGGCTTCGTAGGGAGCCTCTCCCTCCTTACCGGGGAAGACATAGTCGGTCGAGATGTAGACCAGCAGGGCACCACGGCGGGCGGTCTCTTCTGCGAGGATGCGGGTGGCGTCAACGTTGACCCGACGCGCCTGGTCCGGGTTCTGGTCGCACAGGTCGGGGAAACGGTTTGCGGCACCTAGAGCGGAACGGTCAGCGTGCAACGGGATGCAGGTTGGCTGCATTTCCAAGCAGGAGGTGGCGTACAATGGATGACAATCTGAGGTCTGCAGGGGCACGGACATCAGTCAGATTCAATTCGTGAACAACGCGGGTGTGAGATGGGGGGTATTGAGTGTGAGATGCAAGGCGGAAGTCGTAGTCAGGAGTTGAATTACTTCGCTTCGTTCAATAGATTCTTAATGTCCTCCTCCTTTTCCAAATCGGCCTTCTGTATCGTGGGAGGTATGGCTCTGCTATAGCCTTGACCAACGACCAGACAGCCGGAGTGCTTGAAGGTATTGAATACCTGTCGGCCCAGAAGGCCGGTAGCACCAGTGACAAGAACAGTAGTCGACATGTTTCCGAATTGCGTCTCAGTAGAGGACATGGTGAGAAGAGATCAAAAGAAGGGGGGAACAATGACGCGCTGAAGAGATGTTTCTGGTAGCTGGTCAACTGCGGGGCATCTTCATGACGTAACGACGGGTGAGTCTCTTACTGTTCTATTTTCTTTGTGGAAGAGTGGGTGGGAAATTGAGGGTCTGTTACGGTGAACTGATCGGGATGGATGGGTCGAGACACAGCGTAATGGGCCAGGCACAATTGATCCCCAACTGGACATGAGATGAATGTACATTTGATTTGTGAGGCTGCATCCATGCGGGGCTTGGCATCTCGTGCTGCCTCGATTCCTTCTTGGGAAGTCCCTTGCCCTCAGTTTCATCCACCAACAATACTATCACAATTGGTTATCATGACACTCCATTGGCCTTGAACGTCAATTGCTGAGTGAGTATCTGGAATTACCATCTCATACTGCATCAATTGGTCCAACCCTATACAACTGGAATTCTCATCTTTCCCACCAGTCACACATCCCGGTCGCGCTACTCAATATCACGGGATATTAATATAACGTCACTTGTTACTCAATCCCAAGTCAGACAAGAAGAGCATCGTCATCATAATGGCCATTCATCCCGAATATCCGCGGGATACTGTCCCCTCCCTTCCAACATTCCAATTCAGGGATCATAGGTTAAACCGAGATCTCCGCCGTACAGGCCGATACCGCCCTTCCCGACGGGACGGAAGCACCACCGGAGGACCTCCGCAACTCCGACCGGTAAGCTTTTTAGACTTTCAGATATAGCCTTTGGCTCTTCTCCGTCTTCCTCACCACCACCACCACCCCATCATGTCCGGTGCCAGGAACATCTCCGTCGCCCTCCGACGGGCTCGCGTGCCCAAGCCTCGCTCTCTGCTTCGTCCTTTGTCCGCCTGCGCCCCGTCTCCCGCGACCACTGCCGCCCGCGCCTTCAGCGTCACCTCCGCGGCCAATGCGACCAAGGAGATCAAGTACACCAGCAACGCCTACCCCAACCTCAAGCGGGATCCCAAGTTCGCCGAAATCTCCGCCGATGATGTTGCTTTCTTCAAGGAATTGCTGGGCGCCCAGTCCGCCGTGATCGATGGCGTTACCGCCGACGCGGCCGATGACATCGAGCCTTTCAACAGCGACTGGATGCGCAAGTACCGCGGTCACACGAGACTGGTTCTCAAGCCCCAAACAAAGGAGGAGGTCAGCAAGGTGCTGCAATACTGTAACGAGAAGAAGTTGGCGGTGGTTCCTCAGGGTGGCAATACCGGACTGGTTGGCGGTTCCGTGCCGGTGTTTGACGAGATTGTCATCAACCTGTCTCGCATGAACCAGATTCGCTCGTTCGATGAGGCTTCTGGTGTGCTGGTTGTCGATGCCGGTGTCATCCTGGAGGTTGCCGATCAGTACCTCGCTGAACGCAACCACCTGTTCCCCTTGGATCTCGGTGCCAAGGGTTCCTGCCATGTCGGTGGCAATGTGGCTACCAACGCTGGTGGTCTGCGTCTACTCCGCTACGGCAGTCTCCACGGCACCGTTCTCGGTGTGGAGGCTGTTCTGGCTGACGGAACCGTCGTCGACTCTCTGTCGACCCTGCGCAAGAACAACACTGGATACGATCTGAAACAGCTGTTCATTGGTTCCGAGGGCACCATCGGTATCATCACCGGTGTGTCCATCCTGTGCCCCCCTCGTCCCAAGGCCGTCAATGTCGCCTACTTTGGTCTCGAGAGCTACGACCAGGTCCGCCAGGCCTACCAGGAAGCCAAGGGCCACCTGTCCGAGATTCTCTCCGCCTTTGAGCTCATGGACGGCCGCACGCAGAAGCTCGTCCACGAGTCCACTGGCACCAAGTATCCCCTGGAAGGCGAGTACCCCTTCTACTGTCTCGTCGAGACCAGCGGATCCAATGCCGAGCACGACATGGCCAAGCTGGAGGGATTCCTAGAGCACATCATGGGCGAGGGCATTGTTGCGGACGGTGTCCTGGCTCAGGACGAGACCCAGTTCCACGCCATCTGGCGCTGGAGAGAGGGTATCACGGAGGCGCTGAGCCACTTGGGTGGCACCTACAAGTATGACGTCTCCATTCCTCTGCCGGACCTGTACCAGCTGGTCGAGGACTGCAAGGAGCGTCTGACGAAGCTTGGATTCGTTGGCGATGACGATTCGTTCCCTGTCCGTGCTGTTGTGGGTTACGGCCACATGGGTGACTCCAACCTGCACCTGAACATCTCGGTGCGCCAGTACAACAAGGAGGTCGAGAAGGCCATTGAGCCTTGGGTGTACGAGTGGATCCAGAAGCGGAATGGCAGCATCAGTGCCGAGCATGGTCTCGGTCTTGCGAAGAAGGAGTTTATCGGATACAGCCAGAATGATACCATGGTGAAGTTGATGAAGCAGCTGAAGGGGCTATACGACCCGGTGAGTTTCTTTCCAACATTAGGGAAACGTTTACTGATGTCTATAGAATGGAATCTTGAACCCCTACAAGTACATCTAGATTTGCAGCATATTGGAGTTACCTTGATATCATACGTTAAAAATGGAGATTATTCGAGCCTGAAGGAGCGTAAGCTATAATGAGCACCAACCCTTTCTTTCACCAAAGTATACGTAATATTCACATCGGAGCCCATGACTTGATCCCTCGTTCCAAAATCAATCTGACGTGAGATTTTAGTAACTCTGTCTTGTCAATATATAATGAGAGGGGGTAAAGCCCAGCCCCTATATCCGATCCTACTATACCTTCTCCATTTGCAAGATCCAGCCATCTCAACTTACAAAATGCTTAAAGCATTATTAGCCATACACATATTCCCGTCCCTACCAGGGTCAATCTTCATGCAATTCACCATATACATAGCATATCAACCCCAATACACTACAGAACATACAACATAAACCACTCTACCAAACCCACATCCACTCCATCCCACTTCCATATTCCATATCCCACGGAAATGATTCCATCTAACTCCGCAAACTCCGCACCTACCATCCACCCCCATCGGAGTAAATGGCATTAAAGCTCAATCCCCGGAGGATCACCATTCCATGATACCCTAGCGACGATTCATAGATAAGCCTAGCTATTCCATCTCCAACCCCCACTACATAGTATAAAGACAACACACATTCCTCCTACCACCACCTTCCCCTCCCCCCAACCCCCCAAAAGAAAATTCAAGAAAAATGCCCCAAACGTGGCTCATAACCGGCACATCCTCCGGCCTCGGCGCCTCCCTCGCCCTCGCGGCCCTCCGCGCCGGCCACCGCGTCCTCGCCACAGCGCGCAACACTACCACAGCATCGACCCTACAACCCGAAATCACCTCACTGGGGGGAATCTGGATTCCCTTGGACGTGAACGACCCTTCCACCCCGTCCATCATCCAAAAGGCTATCAACACACACGCAGACGGGGTCATCGACGTCGTCGTCAACAACGCGGGATACTCCCTGCTAGGGAGTATCGAGGACATGAGCGAAGCGGAGATTGAGTCCCAATTCAATACGAATGTCTACGGCCCGATTAGGGTGTTGAAGGGCGTGTTACCGTTTATGAGGAAGAGAGGGGCCGGGACGGTGGTGAATGTTAGTAGTAGTGCGGGCGTGGATGGTGCGCCGGGGTGTGCGGTTTATGCCGGGTCGAAGTTTGCACTTGAGGGTAACGTCACCTTTCCTTTCTATCTTATATCATCTATGATGTGATGATATCTGTGTGTGGGTATGTATGTATGCTAATGGGGATGGGAACAGGCATGACAGAGTCCCTATCGAAAGAACTCCACCCCTTCGGGATCCGCGTTCTCCTCATCGAACCTGGGTACTTCCGGACGAACTTCTTCAGTGCGTTTGTGGCGCCTGCGGCAGGGTTGAATGAGGATTATGTGGGCACGCCGGTGGAGGCGGCGCTGAAGTTGATCAAGGCGAAGGATGGGAGTCAGGAGGGGGATCCGGAGAAGGCGGCGCAGAGAATTCTGGAGGTGGTGGATGGGAATGGGATGGCGGAGGGGATTGCTGAGAAGGGGTTTTTGAGGGTGGTGTTGGGGCCGGATTGTTGGAAGAGGTTTTCGGGGAAGATTGAGGGGGTTAGGGAGAATTTGGAGGCCATGAGGGAGATTGCACATTCAACTAGTTTTGAGTAGGGGGTGTTGGTTGGGGTGGATGGGAGGTGGTTGATGAGTGGATTAGGAGTTATTTTGGGATATAGATATCAGCTAATAGAATCCATCGAAGATAGCTGTCCCCTCCATGAAACTAGCCATCAGTCCCGCGTCCATCAATTCGTAAGCCTGAAACATGCGCAACACCTGCAAGTCTTCCTCGGCCGCTTGGGCAACGCTACTACTCTGCAGCTGCGGCTTCGCCGGCATCAGCGCGGCGTATGCAGAAGCACGAAGCGACTGGAGTTTCTTGGTCGACTTGTCCAAGAATCCATTGGCTGACTCGTTTTCTTCGCCTCTTGACGCCTTGGCTTGTTGCACCTCGTTGATCAGACGGTCCAGTATCCACAGAACGTCCACCGTCGATCGCACCAGGTTTGTGTCCCAGATGGGGTCGTTCATCGTTGACAGTGTCATGATGACTAGGATGCTCCGCGCCAGGTAGTTGAAGAAAGGGAATGAAATTCCGATATAGTCGTCGGTGGATGATATCTGGAAGAAGCTATCTAATGCTGATCTGGCGGTTTCGAGACAGGCGTGGAGTCCTTCGAGTCTTTGTATGTCTGGGATGTCTTGCTTCTTTGAGAGGACGAGGCCGTGGATGCTCAGCTCAGTGTAGTACGTCGAGGCGCGGAATAGGCCTGTTGTCCATAAGTATGAGTCTGTGGGTGGTTGGCAGACGTATAATTGATGATGCACTTACTGTTCTGTTGCAAGTCAGGTGTAATACTCTGCTTGACCTCGTTGACCTTCCTCTGCAAAGCAGTGAGGTGAAACGCTGCCGGAACGGCCGTGGACGCAATTCGTATGTGCTCCGCCTCTCTTGCAATACGATGCAGTCGGACTTGATGAGCGAATACTTCGTCAAGCGGCGTTTCACGTTTCCGAGTTAGAGCTTCGAGACATTCTTCCATATGTGACGTCCATTGCATTGGTTGGATGTTGTCAAGACATGTCGATACGCTGGCTGCGTCAGGAATAATCACGTAAAGGCGTGCAATAGTCTTACATGGAGCTCAAAATAAAACATGCTAGGACTGCTCGCTGCTCCTCGAGCGTTCG